CGGCAGTTGTCGCTGCCGTGGGGAGAAATCATTGAACGAAATCGACATTCGGCACCGAGCATAGTAAAATTTATTGCACTTTTTCCGCTGCCGCGCAATCCTTTGTCATGGCCCGAAAAAAAAAAAAAAAAAAAAAAAAAAAACGACGACTCTGACCCAAGCAGCAGCAACACTTTCAACTCCAATCCGAGAAACAATGAAAACTCTTTCAAATGCAGCAGCAGCAGCGAAAACAAAACGAGAAACACATTAAACTGAGACCTGAAAAAAAAGCAAAAATAAAGAAAAAACATTTTTCACGAATTAACGTGGCCAGTGAAGCCGAACAGCAAAGGTTTTTTATAATTGATTTCCTGCGATTGCGGAGCAAACGAACCAAACGAGAAAGAAAAGCCTTTAACAAAAGCAGCAACTTGCAGCGACCCAATAGCAACAATATCACACAAGACAAAAAGTTTAAAATTTTATTTAACACAAATTTTGAATGCTTGTTAGCCATAGTCATAGTCAAATCTTGTAGAAAACTACTAAGTTCTTGTATACCTTACTTACAAAATATCAAACAATTTGTTACGCAATTGAAAATATATAAAGTCTTAAAACACATTTGGTTTTATTCATGTAAATTTTAATTTTATTTTTTTATTACTATTATTATTTTTTTATTTTACTGTTCAATTTTGAATTACACATTTTATATATTTATCTTAATGGAGAAAACTTGTATAATGCTTAAAATCTAATTTCTTTATCAATTGTAAATATGAAACTATTTTTTTCCGTGCAGCAACCTGAGCAGGTCCACTTCGAATCGGACTACCGTGCAAACCCATTTCGCAGTTAACAGCGCAACAAATAAAAATAAATTATACCAGAAAAAATAGCACAAAATATTGTTTGGAGTAAAATACAACAACAAAAAATATACATACACACATTACATAGTATATTTGTATGCAAGTCGTTGCATTGGCGAAAAGAGAAAACCCAGCGACAACAAAAGATGAAAATATGGAGAAAGGGAGGTGGAAAGGTGGCAAGGTGGAAAGGTGAGCTAAGAAGGTTAAAAATCAAGCATCAAAGTGAAGTGCAGGGGACTAAAGTGGCCCGACTAAAGGGGACTTTGAATACACTATCAAAAACTGATTCCAAGAATTAAGACCTGAAAAAAAAGGCATACATTGTTTTTTTTTTAATTGTGTTACAGATTAACATTTTGTAATATAAAAATTTCACTCTAAACTCATAAATAAACGTATAAGATTACCGTTTTAATATTTTTTTAAATAGTGTGAAATATTTGTAATACAATTTTTACTTGTTAGCTTAAAAATGTTGGTGTTTTTAAAATGTCATTTAAATTTAATGTTAATGGGGGTTTCATTAGAGCAACAGTTTTTTTTTTATTTCTCATTATTATTATTGTGTAGTTGATTCTAGCGAGCAGGTTTAGTTTAATACATTTGATTTCTACCTGAATGAAAAACATCTTGAGATGGATCAGTGGGTCACCCCAATAGGTATTCCTTTTCAATTTTATTAATATTGCTTACCTGACGACACCTTAGGGGTTGAGAGCACGCACTTGGTCCCACGATCCACGGATGATTTTAGGGGACAGATAATGGCGGGCATGACCCATATCAAATCTAAACTCCCTCGCAGCCACAGCGTACCGCAGCAGTCGAAAAAAAAGGTTAACACAAGACCAAAAAAAAAATAAAATAAAACTGAAAAAAAATATATATATATATGGAGAAAAGAAACGCTGAAAAACACAACAAAACAATAACAAAGTGGATGGAGAAAAGTACGACCATCAACACGATCATCAACGAGAACCATAAATAAGACTTAAATGGCATGAAAAAGGCAAAGCAACAACAACAACAACAATGGTGACTGCAATCAAAACGCAGGCTATACCCATTACAGCAACAACAACAAAAACAACAACGTTAACCGCAGCAAACAACTGAAAAGAAAAAGCAGCGAAAAAAATACAACAAAAATTATCAAAAAAAAAAAAATAAATATACCATACAAAGTCAACGTTATATATCGACTATAAAAGCAACAAAAACCACATCGAACGGCCGCACCTTCGAACCTCCACACACACATCCACACGTACCTGCATAATCTCGGTTACCATATGTATATATCAGTATATATATATATATGTATGTCTGTAAATATCTGCTGCCTCTGGCCGCTTCCTCTTCCTCATGCTCCAACTTTAACTCCTACTCCGACACCGACTTCGACTTCGACTTGGACTTGGACTCCGGAGCGAAAATTGAGGAGCGCGGAGCCTGCAGCGTTCGGGGATCGAGCGACCCGAAATGACGGAAAACAACAAAAAAATCTAACATCGGGATCCGAAGTTTGCGATACCCTTTCTCAGCATAGATCTTTTAAAGAAAGGTACTGTCCTTGCTAAATTACATACTACTTGGGTCGATTTCTCAATGTCATGTTAAGTTTTGACGTTGATTTAAAACCTTTTTTGTGAAAATCATGTTTAAGTTCCGACTGGAAATAAAAGTTTATAAGAATGTATAGAATGAGAAAGTCAAAATAAAATCAGTTTTTAAAATGTAATTAGCAGTTATATGTCACAAGATTAGGTATTTGGTACAAAATTTATTTATTTATTGAATTTGTTATTAAAAATTTATTTATTGCGATTTTTATGTGTTTTTTTTGAATCCTTGAACAATATAGCGAAACAAAACGGAAGGGAGAAAGGCATGATCTTCAAAAAGGGTATTTGCAATCACAACGAGCGATGGACGCGTGTTGCTGCACCGTATCTTTGGCTCAATCTTGAGGCAGCTTGGCCGAACCGTCTTGGATCTTTAAGACCCCATTCGATCCGCAGCATGCTCCCCCCACTCGTTTGAAGCCCCCGCAACACCCCCTCTAAAGTGGACCTGGGTTGGGCGATGGTGGGGCGGAGATAATTCCAGGTGAGTGCTGAGGGCGGTGCTGATGAACCCTCTCATCCAATTGAGGGGCGGACGGCGATTTGGTTTTGGTTAGAGTGAATCGAAACTGCGGAAATCCTTTAGCACTCAAAGATCAGGTCCGAAAGCCAAAAGTATAAACTGAGCAATTAAAATACCCCGTTTAAGGCCATTATTCAGTGAAACAAAATACAAAATAAATGGATGATATAAATAAACGTGGCGCCGGACAATCCTCTGAATATTTATATGACTGCTAAACGCATTTCGACTATAAGCTTTCTAATATCAAATACATCCCCTGCTAAGTGTGCTAATATATTCAAGAATGCGATAAATGCATAAATAAACGCAAACTGAAATTTGCAAAAATGAAACTAATGCCATGAAAGGAATTAAAAGTGGAAAAGTATGAAATCAAGAGAATATTTTATACCCTTTCGTTTAAATAACAAATGAATGAAAAATTACGCCTAAAAGGGAAAAACTATTATATGGTGAAAAAGAAAGTTGGCATTTGAAAGAGAAGTCAATCAAAGAAGTTGCTAATGATGATACCTGCCTGTAAGACCCATTCTTTAGGGTATCAAAACCGGCCGGGGCTGGTAAACAATGCTTGTTTGTTAGCTTGACTGGAAGATTGTTTTGCAGACATAAATCTCAAGACCAACAGACAGTCCGGGAGAACAGATGGGGACCAGAAAAAAATATGAAAACCCGCAGGGCTAGAAGCGACCCAGACACAGGTCCACTATAAATTTGGTCTATAGCCAACAAATTTTTTTCTTCCTTAATGTAATCGATCCTATTAAAAAAGTAAGCTTAAGATATTAACTGTAGTTTTTTTGTTAGTAAATACAAATTGTAAATTAAAAATATTAAAACAAACTAACTTTTCAATAATGTGATTCTAAGATCCTTGTTAACATGTTAAGCAAGCAATTAAAATAATTTTTAGTGTCAGCAATATAAATTCAATAAAAATAATGCTTTTTTGCATACATTTAGATCAGAATTAATTTGTTATATTTAAAAATTGATCTCCTATCAGCTTCGACTTAAATTGCTTGGCTCGAATTCCATTTTTTTTTTTGTGTCTTGTTCGCTTTTTTGGCAGACACTTGAGTGAGGTTTGACTGTCTGAGTATCGGAGTGTCTGGTCGGCTTATGTGTTCATTTGTTTATCGGCGGGACAGAACTCGAAAACCAGTTCGCCAGATGAAGTTCTATCGTAATTGCGTATAACTTTAAGTACAATACATTAAGGTCTAATTGACAGACAGACTGGCAGCCCACCCCCCACTCCTTGCCCCTCAGCGGATCATCAAAATGCGATAGACGTGGCTTTTTGGTGTGTTGGTGTTGCGATTTATTATATAAGCGTGCGGAATTACGCAAGCACTTGTCGAGCAGTTGCCTTATGGCATTAGGTAATTCTCTTGGATCTCCCGATGCCTTGAGCCGTTCCTCGACTTTGCGATTACTACCGGCAGCGACTGACTCATCCAATGTCCAGTAATTACAGCCTATCTCAGAATCGATCATGTATATAAATATGTACATATATATATTCCCAGCTCCCGATCTCTTCCTGAAGTCTTTTGTTCACTCGTGCGTGGAAAATTAATTAGGCTAAAGTGATTAAAAGCCCAAGCGACTTAAATTGGTACGCTTTGGTAAAACAAAAATTATGAGTCAGTTTTAAGATGATGAGTGAACTAAAATATAAATATACATTGTTATACATGTTATAAAAAGGGACTAACTAAAAAAATATTTGTAGCTCTAGTGGAATTATTTAGAATAATATTTGAAAATTTATAATTTAAAAGGATAAAACTGAGGTTCTTTTGGCAACAAATTAATTTAACTTTCTTTTTTTAAGACATTATTTTTATCATAACATTGAAAATAAGATAAAAAGTACCTTAACCTCACTGAGGTACCTTATGCGAAACTAATCGATTTTTAAAGCACTTAAAAATTCTGTAGTTTCAAACCGCAGCACAACAGTTTGAATAAAATGCGAGACTGGAGAAATTGTAAATTCTTGGTCTCACTCGTGATCATGGCTTTAGTTTTAACTTTCGTAAAGGTTTACTTTAAAAGTCTTCAAAGAGTGGGCCATGATGAAATCGTGCGATATGAGCCCACTGAACTGAACCTGGATCAAATGCGATATCTTGCTGGACTTTCCGATCTAAATAATCTTCGCAAAACTGTGCAAAGGATTGCGGTAAAGAGGGTGGTGAACACCGCAGAACACTCTGCCGTGAGAAACTACATAGTGGATTACCTAAAGGATCTGAAATGGACAGTACAGCTGGACATTTTCACGGAGAAGGTGCCAATTTTTGGCTTCACCACCTTTCACAATATAGTGGCCCGGCAAAATCCGAATTCCAAAAAATTCCTAATGCTCGGCTGCCACTATGACAGCAAGTATTTCAAGAACTTTGATTTTGTGGCCGCCATGGACTCTGCGGTCCCCTGTGCCATGATGCTAAATATGGCCAACAATTTGAAGGACCAGCTTACTCGATCTGAGATCAGTTTAATGTTCGTCTTCTTTGACGGAGAGGAGGCATTTGGTGAATGGTCGGAAAAGGATTCACTATATGGTTCGCGGCATTTCGCGGAACTTTGGCAGAAACGAGGTCTCCTCCGTAGCATCGATCTCTTCGTGCTGCTGGATCTGATCGGGGCCAAGAATGTAACCTTCAAGAACAACATACTGAGTACTTCCAATTTGTTCCATCGATTCGTTCAGCTGGAGCAGCAACTCAGCAAGGCGGGAATTCTGCGATCAGAGCGCCCAATTTTTCAGTTTCAGCCCGGCCAAGATGTAGATGATGATCATTTGCCATTTATCCATCGCAATGTGCCAGTTATCCATCTCATAGCTGCCGAGTATCCAGAAGTTTGGCATACGGCCAAGGATGTGGAGCAGAATGTGGACTATCCAACCATTGAGCAAGTGGATCTTGTTCTGCGAATGTTTGTGATGGAATACCTCAACTTAGCTCCTTCCTTGTCCATTTAAAAATAACTCTTTACCTTTAAGTGTAACATGAATTTTGAATAAAATATTAAGATATTTGTTTGATTACTACCTTTTCCAAGATATCCATAATTTGGCTTAAATCTCTTTTAATTAGACTGTACAACAAATTAAATTCAATTGATATTGATTTTATTTATCAAAATGGTGAATAAGTTGGAATTTAGTTGATTACCTAAAATTTCCTATAATCTAAGCAGCCACAAAATAAATATTAATTTTTAGTGGATGAAATTTAAACTTATTTTGCCCACTGTAAATATTATTCCCTAATTTTTTGAAGATTATAACTATTAGGAATAAATCAGGGTCACCAAGTACATGTTTTAAAAGTGTGTATAATAGTTAAATATAAACTGGTTTGAATACAATGATTCCAACTTTTGAAAAATAAGATTAAAAAAATAAGTCAGATAGGTCAAATGAAGTGCTTTGTGATCGTTTCTTTATTAATGACCACGATTCCGACTATGTCTCAACTGCCACAACATTACAGTGTGTTACTTTTCGCCTTTCCTGGCAACCGAATCGTATCAAATTTCCATCGTTTTTCCGCTCCCCAGTCGACCAAAAGCCATCAGGCCATCAGGCTATCAGGCCACAGGCAACACTCGAAATTTATGTACGCTGCTCCCGCTCGCTGAAAGCAACACGAAAGTTAATTAAACTTGAATATAATAAAAGCAAAGCGAAGCTGAGCTGAGCAGAACAGAAGCAGCAGCAGCACCAGAAGGATGTGGATGTGGCGAATAATAAAACACAAAAAGTGTACATCACAGCCAGCGGGCACCGAATGGCGGACACGGGCACTGCAAATCGGCTGGGGATTGTATATATATACCCGCATATATATATACACATACATATATAAACGTTTGGGGGGAAGGTGTGTGGAGGTCGGTAGGTGGTCATCATTAGCATATCGCCGACAGCGGCGCGAAAAAGGGTTCCCATTTGAAAAGTTAATCGCCAGCTGATGCTGCACTGCGATTGCGATTGCGATTGCGAGTGGCGAAAAAAACCAAAGGGAAGGGGATTGAGAAAAGGGGGTGACGATGACTGCGTTGACACTGACAGCCGCCCAAAAGCTCCCCATCCCACCTCCCCCCTCCCAGCACGACCCACCGAAGGCCATATCCCTGTCGTCGGACCTTATCTGCGGACTGCAATAAAAACGGACAATAATTAAAACTGGCAAATAGAACTGGCGCACTGCGCCTGTCCCTCTCCACACTTTACAAAATAAATACCCAAAATATTTCCTTACTTAAGTGGGTACATATAATTTCATATCTAAATTTGCTTGAAAATAAATATAATATTGAGAATTAAAAGAAAGCTGAATGATTGCATTTTTAAGATTTTGTTTTCATTGTTATGTATATATTTATTCATGTATTTTTTTTATGCCTTATTAAAATAAATTAATAAAATCAAAAATCAATTTTCAAGCAAACCGAAAAGGAGAACAGTGTATAAATTAATCACATTTGTATTTAGCGAATTTGATTATCAGTATTGATAGGTGCCATTTTCATCGCAATGTTACACTAACCCACAAAAACCCATGTACCAACGCTTTCAGTGCACTTGGAATGGATAAAGCCCCAAGGGAAATTGTTCTTTTGACTAAATACTTATAGCATGTTAATTCAAAGGGCCCTTAAAGGATTTCTTTTCCAATATTTTTTCAAGATTATTTCTTTCATTCATTTTCTTTCCCTTAACGAAGAACACAAAGTTTGGGTATTACCACCAAAGTCTTGCCCAACATTCATTAACAGTCTGTAGTCATTCGCCTAACCCTTTTCTGCTTAATCAACAAAAAATTGTGTACTTACAACTATATACATATAATATGTACACTTCGTTTCAGGAGGATAAGTCGTAAAAATTTAAAAGAATTTTATTATAGATAAAAAACAGCAGTTCTTTAATTATTTAATAAATATGGGGTGGAAATAAACCTTTTTTTATAATCTGGAAACTAAGAGAATTAACAGTTTTGGTACGCACTGTTAATGAAAAAAAACTTATCACATTTTCCGGTTTGGTCGCTGTTTGAATTGCTGCAGGTTTGCCCTTGCTTGCCTCCTGTTTTTTTTCTTTTTTGTTAATTTTTTCCAAACAAATAACCGTAAAAATCTTTGCCATCCACATCAGTCGTAAAAAATTACATACGAATTTCTTGTTTTTTTTTTTTTTTGTTGTTTTTTTACCCGCTTCAGATTGAGATTCAGATTCAGCTTTTGCTTTTTGGGTTGTTGAATGGGTGCGAGTGCATCGGCGGATGATATATAGAGAGTGCCTAACCCCCGAGCTGCTTTGTGAAACGCTTTCGGCCGTGTGTTGACTTTTATAATTAAGCCCTTTGTGTACATTTCCAGTTGACGGCACCGCAGAAGGGCAGAAGGGGATGCGATGCGGAGCATCATAAAAAGGATTAATTGTGCGCAATTAAAGAAAATATATTACCAAGTTCGCGAGGCCAAGTTTCGTAACGCTTTTTCCGGCTTTGACTTCGGCTACGGATTCGTATTCGGATTCGCATTCGAAAAGTTTTGCCAGCATTGAATTATGCAAAATCATTTAAATGCGTCGCCTCCGAAAAAGTTTTTGGCCAACATTTCTCCGCCGACTTAACCACTTTGGCATGTGTCTCACATTCTTATTGTTATTGTTCTTGTTGTTTTGCCCAAAGGGGGTGGTAGGGGGTGGGCTTAAGTTCATAATGCTCATAGAGAGCCGTGGGTGGTGTCCCGATCACAATTGCCGGGACAATGGAGGCGGCATCCCTTCCCTTCCACATGCGTTACCCGGGTTAATTGCTCAAGTTCAAAATTAAAATATTTATTACAATGAAAAACTTTGGCACTTTCGCGACGCCAACGTGACGAACAAAAGGCAGCTTACGCGTAAAGTACTCCTGCTCGAGAATCCCCCTCCACTTTGGGAGTTGTTTAATTTGTTTTCCGCTTAGTGATGTTTGCCCCAGTGTGTGGAGGGTTCCTCCTTTGAAAGTACAGTGTACGGTGTACGGTGTACGGTGTTGGCACACCGGTGTTTTGAACAATGGAACTTGTCATAAATTAAATAGTATCACAATACTGCAGCAAAGCCTCTTGCTAATTGACACACCAACTGTTCCTCCATTGTCTATCTGGATGTCATTGGTTTGTGTTGATAGCAAACGAATATTTGCTCTTCAGCTTGGCTGCATGTCAATATTTTGGTGTTTAAAAATGAAGCAATTCTGCGGATAATTGGCAACTTGTAGATACAAGGTCTTTTAAAATGTATTAAACAACTAAATTTAATGGAATTAATATTTTTGATTTGATTTTATTTGCTTAAGACAATATCAATAAATTTAAACTTCAAATGTTAGGTATAAATTTGTTTTTCGTTTATGAGAAATAAACAAAACTCTTATTCAATATAATTATTTATTTAAAATATTTATCATGCATTATATATCAGTTATTATAAAAAAAGTGCTTATGTAACTTTCGTGGATAATTTTAAGTCTTTATCTATAGTCAACTAAAATATAAACTTAAGTTATGACTTTCTCTTAAAGTTCTTTAGGCACTTTTTGATTTATTTTCTAGCTTATATTTCTAACCTTTTCAACCCCTGAATTTAGTTTTTTTCTTCACTTTTGTTAACAACCTGCAAAATACTCTGTTTGCTGATTGATTGATTTTATTGTGGGCAATGCGATTATTCGAGGCCAGTCCTTGGGGTGCTGAGATCTCCCCATTTAATAAGCTCTATTCCCAACCACTGGTGGCTGGGCATTAGAACAGGTGTTGCCTGTGGTGAAGATATCGCAAGGGGATAGGACCGAAACATGTTTGCCAACGCTTTAAAAATGTAACATGCGGCACTTTTTCATCATCCTTTGGCTTGGTTTTCCTCAATTTTCCCCCTCTTCTCAACTTCTCAACCTCTTCTCGATTATCATTTGAGTGTATTGAAAATTTGAAACGCATGAATAGTCAGGCTAGATCGGCCTGGGGCTATGTACAATGTACATACATATGTATACATATGCATGGGAGCCGGGTCAGACGGCCACCAAGGCATTCCAAGGGTTTATCTGCGCACTTCAGTTGAATTTTTTTTTTTTTAGAGGGGAGTGGTCGGGCGGGCGGATATGGCCAAACACATCCGTTTGGCAGATGTTTTTCACATAGCTCATAGCAAACTTACCAACTCGAGTCCACAAGTCGCTGTACCCTTTCAAAAAGTACTACACAGCTACTGCTACTTGATAAAAAATAAACAATAAATAATTTAAAATAACTAGGAACTTATTTAACTGTGTTCATCATCCTTATGATGGTCAAAATAACATAAGTTTGTGGGTATCTTCTTTTTTATATTTATTTTTAAAAAGTACCACACAAATTAACAGTAATTGTTAAGAAATAAACGACAAATAATTTAAGGTAGCTAGAACTGTATATTAATTTGGGGGAAGTTACCTTTTAATATTTATTTATTTCTTCATTTTTATTAACTTATATTTTGTAAGATGTTAAAAATCATTAAACAATAGAGGATTTGTTTTTTATAAATTTTATTTAAAATGAATTTCCTATAAATCTAGGGTATTACATAAACCGGTTGCCTGAAGGGCTTAGCACTGCATCCATTAACTTTGGCGGTGCCGAGAATGAGCAAGTGTAGCGGAAATGATTTGGTAGCTCCAGTCCCCTAGACATCCTGATCCACTCCACCTTTTTGGCTCCCGGTGGAGCATATTTTCATCTTCACTCATGAGCTCTTGGTGGTTGAAAAGTGTTTTGCTTGTGTTTTGCTATAAGTTAAACTTTTATACTATCTATTGGGTGGCCAACAGGCTGCAACAGGGTGCTTACAATGTTAAAATGTTATGATGAAGAAAACACCATCGAAATCGGTTTCAAAAACCATATATTGTTAAAAAAAATAAAAAATCATCGGCATATATAATTTATTCAATTTAAATTATTTATTTAAAATTCAAATTTTGATTTTGGAAATTTCTCACGTCTTCTAGCGGCGTGCCTTAAAATGCCTTGTGTTTCCCCAGTTTCGTTTGAACCTTGTAACGCTTCGAGCAGGCATTGAATTTGCAAATTTGACTATAACAACAATCATTGCTACCGAAAAAAGAATCGTAATTAACATATTTTTGGTTCTATAATTTTGAACGATTATCACCAACTGTTCTACCGTTGGGATCCCTTCAGGATACTTAGTTGAAAATATAGTCCTGCCCTCCAGAGAAACTTCGAAAGCATTGATCTCTGTTAGATACTATAAGAATAAAAGCGTATTTAGTTTTCTTGTGAACGTTTCTTATTTTTAAGGTCTTACCAACAATGTGCCACCCACTAGTAAACCAGTTATTAACATTGCATCCTGTCTCCTCCTTATATATGCAATTAAGTTCCAGATTCTTGTGTACCAACCGTTAAAAAACATGGGTATGAAGCTTAAAACAAGCACGATAAAGGAAAGGGTCATGGCTTTAGTCGGATTATAAAATCTGCTAGAGACACGATACTCCGGAAACCTTTCCTGCAGTTCAGTTTCAAGATTGGCATATTTATAAGAATGGATTAAGCTGAAAGATAGTTAAAAACACAGATTAATAACATATAATATATATACAAGTAAGAAATTCACAACTATGTTAGAAGTTTTAAAATTCCAACTCGACAAGTTACATTGATTACACGTGGCGTTTTGCAAATATGAGGGTAAATATTTTAAAGCATTATACTTACCCTATACATATGAAAAGCTTATTAGAAAAAAATGATGTATAAAAAAAAGAAACAAAAAAACAATTAAAAAATGCACAACGCGTGAAAACATGTCTCTTCTTCAATGAAAACTTCAGGAGACTGTTCCAGAGTATTGTTTGGTGCAATGATTACTGTTAGCGCTCTCAGCGCTTGTATTTAAATTACTAGTTGAAGGGCGAGAACGGGAGCCAATAAAGCTTTCGTCAGTTCGCTCTTGCGAATTCGCCCCGTCTCTCGCCACCGTAGAATAAGTTAGGTTCTAAGAGAAATTATTGAAATATAATAGTCAGTGATCAATCGAACATCATCGTAGCCACTCCTTTTCGTCGCGCTTTCGAAATAGTTTTCACAATTCGCAATTTAACATCGTCGAACTACTGCTCAAAAGGGTTTATATTTTAAATGTGCACTTAAATATTTAAACATATTTTCTATAAGACAAAATGTAGTTTTAAAATACAAAATATTTTTTTGAATATGTTTGCTATTAAATTAACATATCTTGAGTTGTTCTTTTTTTTTTTTAACAAATTATACATTAAAAAAAAATTGTCAGAAATGACTTAGTTTACAGGAAAACCGTATTACAGGTTTTTTGGTAAGCTTATCTTTTAAGCGATATCAATTAATTTTTTAACATGTTCCAAAAATGTACTATATTTGATTTTACAAATACAAATTTTAAATTGAAAGTTTTAATACTTCATTGTTATTATTTTAAGCCGAAAGTCATCTGTCGAAAGATGCTGAAAAATAGTTGTATTTCAAAATAGAATTGCTGTCAACCTCTGTTTTCGGAATAAATAAATTATACTTATCATGAGGTTTAATGAAGGCTTCCTCGGAATCATAGGGGCCACCAATCTTTTTGGCTCAATCAGCTCAGTTGGGGATGTTGAAAACCCAACTCATTTCCTTCAGTTCTTTTTTGCACCCATCGTCATTATCATCATCCTCCAGCTTGTTCGTCATTATCGAGCCGGAGAATTTCAGCTGTCATTACTTTTTATGGCCCAGCAACATGATGCGATGCACTTGCCCTGCCCTGCCCCATGTGGTTGAGCTGGAAAAGTCGGTGGGGGCTGATGGTGGGTTGGTCGGTGTTTTGTAGCCGAGGCTGACTGGCAGTTAAAATATAATTTCAGGAAAGAAATCATCATAGAGCCCGAGCAGAAGCCCCAGCGTCGAGAGGCAGTAAAAGTAAAACATCAAAGTGAATACCAGGGTGGTGCCGGAAGCGGGGGGTGGCTTAGGGGTGTTCTAGGGATTGTCTGGGGGTTGCGGGTTGAGGGGGTGGTGCAAGAAAGCTGCTCCGTTTGTCACCGCTAGAGGACGCCACGGGCGGTGGTGCTGGGTGGTGGGCGGTTGTCGAGAGTGAATTGTAAAAGAACGCATTTATCCGAGCAAAGGACCTATCCACATGCGTCTGCCAAGCGCCCACTCCAAGCGCCCATCTTCATCTCTCCCACTGTTTCGTTTCAATTTCCACTTATCTGCATGTGAGTACCATACAGAGAAGAAAAACTTTACCATGTAACAAGCCCAAAAGAATATATTTAAAAATACTTATCTACAATCATCTAAATACCTTCAAAATGTACTTGTGTTGCAAAAAAACATTAAGTAAGAAATTTTACTTTTAAAAAGTTTGGGTTTTACAATTTTTGGAACATTTTCTGGTGGTGCCAAATGGACAGGCATGCCACTCCACTCACATTTCCAGCTGAAAACTGTCAGCCCTTTGATTGTGTAATTGATTTAGCGATAAAACTCGTTCGCCCTCACCCCTCACTTCTTCCCTTTCAATCTGTCAATCCGTTTAAAGTCGTTGGCTAATTAAGATGCGCCCCAAAATGGCAGCAAAACGGAAAATGAAAGTGGGTGGTTGGAAAAAATGCGAAGGACTCGCCGTTTTTTCTGTTATCATTCTGGTCATAAATGAGTCTTACCCGAGCCACCCGAACCCCGATCCACCACGCACCACCCACCAACCACCCACCTCCCGCCAAATGTAAGCCATTTCAATTGCGAGCCCTCGATACCAAAAATTTACGATCGCTGCTGGTGTTTTTTTTATTCTCGTCTTAATTTTTACAATTTTTTTTCATTTGTTGATGAAATAACATTTTTACTGTGATATACAAAGCGATTTTTATACTCTCACAGAGGTTGTTATAAATTCAGTCAATTGTTGGCTGTGTCCGTGTGTCGGTTTATAAGCATACCAATCTCTCTATGAAACTTATTTAAACATCTTTCTATTCCATATTTTCTTAATTTAAACAAACATACTCCATATATAGTAATGGTTAATTGCTTTAGAATTACGGGTTTAAATGCTATACAAATCTGACAACGATATCATATAGTTGACATACAAACATGCGGAGTGCCAATTTTTGCTTCACTTCTTGTTACAAATAAAATATTTATAAAAAAAATATACAATTTTACTTATCAATTAAATAGACTTTAAAAAAACGTATTTACTAAAAAAGGGTATTGCAAGTTTGCATTACACTTTTCATAGCCTTATTATATGGTTGTCACTGTCTGGCGGGACATTAATTTTAATGTCGTCGAAAGGCGTTTAAAATAAATTTGGAAAGAAAAATAAAATATAATTCAGTGGGGCGGTCGTTAAAAAATAGACACCAGCCGTGTTTACCCATAAAAAATACTAAATACACATAGCCTGGTAAATGCTTCAATATCTGCAGGGTGGGAGAATGCAGAAAAGGGGGATTTCGGTGGGAATTTTAGCATTTGAGCACGCAAGTTTTTATTACCGAGACAATGAAACGGCAGAGTGGGCTCAAAGCAACCGCACAGTGAGGTGGAAAAGTCTGTGTTCCCGCAAAAACGCCCATAAAAACGGTGTTAAACTCAGAGCCACCGCAAACGGGGGAACCTATGCGAGCACGCCACAAACAGTGTTCCTAATCGTATTTTGCAATCGTTGCAGATGGTTAAACATAAATATATTAAACTTAAAAAAATATATAAACAATGCCCTTTAGAGCATGACAAAAATTTGTGCAATACATTATTGAAATCAATCTAATTTTGTCACAGAACATCACCATTCAACTAAATGTAAACCAAAAGTTGAGCCAAAAAAATAGCAAAGTTTAAAAAATTGTATAGATTAGTTAATGAGGTTACGTTTTTTATACTACATAATTTAATAATCTGCTTAACTACATACAGTATATGTTATCAAGCAAATAAAATTAAATCTTTAAAGCTACCCGATCTAAAAGTCTTACTTTTATATTAATTTAAAAAGTTTAAAGACCTCAGATGCGGTTTGTGTAATCCTTGAACAGAGGGGAAATTAGCTTTTAACACCCGAACAGAAAAATTGGTAGCAGAACACTGGACGAGGGAAAAGCGGTGTGACAGCGGCTTATATGAAACGAATTTTAATTAAAACACAACGGAAAAGTTTCGGCCGGGGCAGGAAACTTCCCCAGCCCTCTGGCCATACACTTAAAGTTAAATCCCAGGACTGTCAGACACCGCTCTCGCCACTCTTCCCGGTTCTTTGAAAACGGCAGGGGGTATTCACTTTGTAGATAACAACTAGGACATATTTCAAAATCAAATTAAAATAATTTTCATTTAAAAAGAAATGGAGTTGACTTCCCATTAAAGAGTGTGGAATCGAAAGAAAACTGGCTAAGCAAGATGTGTGTTAACAATTCACGAATAAAGTATTATAGAATACAATAATAATTTTTAATTTTATTTTTTATTTAATAAACAAAGCGAAATTCCGGAGTTCAAATCAGGGATACAATGGAGACGCGACGGTTTTGCTCAAGTCGCTGTAGATTTAGGATTCGCTGGAGGATCGATGGCCTGAAGCGATGCCACATGAGGTAGCAATGGTCCACATATGGAAACTCGTAGTCATCCGCAAAAAGTTTGAGCAGAGCGGCCCTCATCGGTACGCCGTAACCCCGTCGAACGACATAGGCATCTGCGGCGTACTCAAAATGCCGGAGAAAGAAGAACACGATCCAGGCGTTGATGGTGTAATATACCGGCATTAGGTACTTATACACTAGCCAAAAGCCCACGATACTTGGATAGAATTTGGTGAAGCCTGCAGCTAGGTAAAGAGTCTGCCACTTGTAGCACAATCCAAAGAGCACTAGATAGAGGAGAAGACTCAGATTGATCATCGCCAGGGTCTTTCGTACGTGCCACAATTTCCAGTGGGCCAGTTGATGGGCCACAAATGCCGGCAGTTGTTCGTCATTAAGACCAGCTCCCACCTGACCCGATTGCAGATCGTTCGCATCCAAGCCCCTGTGCAATTTCAGATTATCGTGGATATCCAATCGCAGGCAACAGAAGCATCCCATCACCCAGGCAGTTGGTCGTCCCACATGGAATGTGTGCACCAAATAAACCCGACCCGGAAATTTGAATTGAATCAGAACCAATCGCAGTCTTTCATTCATATCGGAATCCTTTAACAGGCGACTTTTGCCCAAACAGGGCACTCCGAAAATCCCGACCGTAACCAACATGAGCAGGAATACAAGCACCAGCACAAGCCATGCGATCAGCACGAAATACCAAACACTCATCCGGACAATGGACATCAAAATTGTAGTCAGCGGAATGATGCCAATCTATAGGAAATTCAGGGAATATGTTCAATAATTTAACTATATCATCTTATGTCTGTAAAGTTATAGCAAGTATTAAAAACCCACCTGCAGAAAAACCACATAGAAAGCCATGGCACAAATCAGACCCACTAAAGGTGGAGACTTTTCAGGATCCACATTATATTTGGGATCCAGGACCAGTTTCTCGTAGAACAAAGATGGCAGCATCCGGAACACCAGGTAAGTGGAAAACAACGTCATGAAGGTCACATTCAACCATACGTGGTTCGTATGGCCATACCAGTTCACCGTCAGCTTCCAAATGTGCGCCAAAATGCAAAGGTATAAGTCCAAACAGCTATATATTGTATCTACTATAAGGTTGAATAGCTCCAGATATGAATAGTGAAGTTGCTTCTCCTTGGAGGCCTGAAAATAGGATTTAAAACAAATGCAGTAACGTGGGAAGATTATTATCGTAAGCTAAACTTTATTACATTTAATGGCCGTTGCAAATTTTAGATTATAAAAGGACTGAAAATAATACTTAATTTCGAGTTTTATTTTTAAAGTATTCTGCTATTTTTATACTTTTATGTTTTATTATTGGATAATGAAGCTTTGTTTGATTTTAAATTTTTTCTGATTTTTATACTTTAATGATTTTTAAATGTGTCGTTTATAAGTATTTAAAAATTAAAAATCTCAAATAACCAATAATTTTGTTCCCTGTCATAAAAAGTGTAAAACTATAGAATAAAATTGTACACTATCTAAACTTTAGTTCACACACCTCGAAGGCCTCCTGCGACATGACGCCCTCCATTTCTGGCGGTGGAGCTTTGTATTCCTTACACAATTTCAACTGACGGCAGCAGAGAATCATGTAAAAAACGTTGTGAATCACAATTATCAGGCAAAGGATGTGGCGCAGTAGAATCGGATCGGAGATTGACAGTTCCTTGGGAACCAAGCTCATTCCAATGTCATTACCCGATATAATAATGCGCTTGCCATGCATTGGATCCTGATATAGGGCAACTATATACATAATGCGAACAGTGTATGAGTTAATGTAATATTGAGAATAAAGTGAATTAAATATAAAAGTCAACTGAGCAAAAAATACAATATTCGGTGCAAACGTTGATTGAATATCTTTTTTATTCAATACAAATTAAGCATATGCCAGCATATTCTGGAAAGTATGCTACATACTTTCGTTTAGCTGCAAAATTGTTTGTTTAATTTGCAATTTGGATTAATTAAGCTTTAGAAAAAATACTTTTCTAAAGAAATAAGTATGTTTTAATTTAATAGTAAAGTCATTTTTAGATAAATGCTAAAACAAATGTTAAATGTAGCTTAATTAACAATTTGGTTGAGACTTGCATTAATTTATAAATTGTAAAAAGCTTGACAATAAATACTTTGTTTAAAGAACAAAAATTTCATTAATTTAAAAACAATAAGTTCCAAACTTAACTAAGTTGTTGTGTCAACCAAAAATCAAACATGTCACCCTCACATCATCGCAATCCCTATCCCATGAGAGACCCAGATTACGCTACTGCCAATCGTTGACTAGTGGAAGCCAAAGATTATAATGGCGCCAAAGAAATTACTAATGTGTATCCGGGAAAAAATAAATGTGGTGGTGCGGTGGTGCACTTGTGTATAATGGTTCTTTGTAGTTTGTTTCAAGGATTTGTGAACTTCTTACGCTTGGCATATCAATAATGAGGCAAGGGCTTGACGGGATTCTAGGGGGAATTGTGTTGTCAAGCTGGCTGCTTTGATGGTTTCGGTTCGACGCCATTACTTAACCCTCCCCCTACCTTCCTCCTACATATCCCCATATTTAACCACACACACACACACACACACAGGCACACTCACACACACATGAACACCCAAATGCGCGAACATTCACTTGGCATCTCTAATTAGTAGAATTTAATCTTCACACTATGGCAACGTCAAACGTTCCGAACCGCGACCCCTCATGCCACCCGCGCCATCCTCAAATCCACCCATTGCGCTGCTCATTATGAAAAATTTCAAATTAAAAAAACGAGGGGAGTGGAGCGTGCACGGAGAAAAAAATGTCACTCAAATAGTTTTAATTAATTGTGAAATAAATACAAAAGTCGAAGGCTGGGATAATCTTGTTAGATAAATTATGCTGGGACATGCAACTACAATATCCGTGGAGATATTGCTTAACCATTAACAAAATTGTTCAGAAAAACAATTATTATTGAGAACTTACTTACATAAATTTAAATGTCGCATCTTTTACACTACGTAACAGCATAAAAATAGGAAAAAAAACTGAAATATAAAAAACAATATAGGAAGAACTAAAGCTGACTATATAAAGCATAAATTCTTCAACTTTTTCTCCTTGTGAAACAAAGTAAAAGTTTCTTGGAAGAATTAACGGTTGGATTTGCATAAATACCAGGGCGTGTGTGTGTGCCTGTGTGTGTGTGTGTGTTAGTATCACACATCATGATTACATAATTTAGCTATTAAAACAGCGCCAAGTGGCTGGCTGAATTTAGAGGGAGAGGGAAAGAGGAATGGAATGCGAGGGACAGAGAAGGAAGGCGGCTTATTTATGCCTCAACACGCCGTTTGGCGCAGCTTCAAAGGATCCGAGACATGGGTGGTGTTGGGAAGGGGCTAGTGGTTAAGGGGGGCTCGGCCTGCGAGGGGTATTCCAGTTCAACGGCACACATGTGCACTTGATTTACTCATTAGCGTTACTTTTCTGTTCATAATAGGGCGCTTACCAAGCCGGAAACCGCAGCCCCCCACTTCCACCCCCGACCAACCCCCCTCTCCGCCCGTGGCAGTCGCATTTGGTTTCATTTCGAACCGTTCGGGATGCGTTGGCATAAGCCGCTTAGGCGTATCCTTTGTGCATGTGTAATTGTGCTGGCCCTCACACACTGCCCCCTCCCACACTTCTCAGCTTACCCACCCCTCCCTCACACACGCATACACACTCCCGCACACACACACGACTAAGCCCTAATAATCCCCACTATTTGGCCAAAAGCTGGGAGGGAAAAAGGTAAGACACTGGCAAAAAAAACTATGCGTACACAAATATTTTTAGTGGAATATTTTTATATTATTCTTAAAAAGATTCAGAAATTAACCAAAGAAATACATACATGTAAAAAGGTAAATAAAATGTAAGTTTAACAAATGTTTTATTAGTTTTATGTGTTAGGTTACCAAACTAATTTTTGTATTCTCTTAATACCATTATAACTAGTTTTAATCATAAGCTCACATGCATAGATATAAGAATTCAAGGCTTACAAATATTTTTTATCGTTGGTAAACTAAATATATGAAAATTTTGTGTGAAAATTTCTCTCAGTGCACATGCGTAAGTTCGTAGCTACCCAATTCGCTGTGCCCATTTTCGCTTCTCCCTTTCCATTCTTGGGTAAAGTCAAAATTTAACTTTTCACATTTGCCAAGGGCAGAAAATGTTACCAGGGGGTTTTCTTGGCAACGAAAAATCCAGTCTGCTGATGCTTCATGTAAATAGTTAGCCAGAAAGAAAGGTTGACTGAGCTGGCAATCAAGATTGTCTTGGATCACATCTTACAAAGGGGTATATAAATAAAGATTTACTTTAAATAGAGTTGAGCCTGGACAAATAGCACTATTCCAAAGAGTTATCTAAATGAAAAGTCTTACCCATATCAAATCTTAATTGTCTAAAGTATCGTTAGGGGAGTCATAAAAAGCAACCCAATAAAAGAGTTTGTTTAAAAAAAAGAGACTGTTACAAAAACTTTAATCTTGATACGTTAAAATTACATAGCACTGCAATTTTTTCTAAATATCTTTTAAAAGAACTGTTTTTCTTCTGAAACCAACTAAGGATTTATGGCCCCACAATTTAAGAAGAGTATATACCATAATTTGTACAGCAAAGAACATTTGACTTAAAAAGTCTTCCTAATTTCTTTCCCCAGTGGTCGGTCCGATTTAGTTGAATTATAGCTGAGGTAATCCTAAGCCGTATAATTATGTGGTTTTGACTTCAGACAGAGGTTGAACAATTTACCTGAGGTTTGATAAATTTACTCAGCTCCTTGGGCCGTCCTGCCTCGAGTTGTTTGATATATGCCCTGCTACCTCAATTATCTTGTGCAATTGTCTAAGAGATAATCCGAAACTGAATCAGATTTGTTGCGGTCAAGTTGTGTGCCGTCATGTTTGGCAATCGATAGGCCCCTTAAGTTGGAGAGCACTTGAATCTGGCGATTTGGATTTGTAGACCATCATCCATTATGCCCGATAAGATCGCAACGTGTGTAGAAGTTTCCGTTTCGTGATAAGGGGATTTTAAATTAATAATTCACTGTCGCTGCACGAAACGTGAAAATTGTCGGAAAATTGCTCAATTTTCCATGCGAGGTGGAGAGACCGAAACAGACGAAGAAAGAGAAATTTATGCTAATTTTCGACAACTATCACTGCTTAACATCGTTGGGACGTGGACAGCGGCAACCCACCCGAAAACGCAGACCCACCAAACCTGATGGTCATGTAATGTCGAGGCAGCGTAACGAAGTAACCCAATTAATTTGTGGCACTCATTAGCAACAATTGAAAACGCCAAAGCCAGCAGGAGCAGTGGCAGTGGCAGAAGCAGCTCCTCCAACCAGCTCCCCCTCTAACCCCCCAACCCCCCAACCCCCTGACACTCGTCAACACAACCAGAAGTTGGAAATGCCCGTAATGGGTGTGGGGTCCCTGCCCCGCCTTCAGCTATTCCAATTCGCCCCCATTGTGTCCATCGAAATAAAAAGAAAATTTGGTGGGGTAAAGGTAATTATGTATATATTATTTATTATACAACTTTTTGATGCTCTAACTGAAACAGCTGGGTCAAAGAAAGTATAATTAAAAAATTACATTAAAAAATGCATTGAATTATACAAAAAAAACAGCATATATTAAAGTTTTAGATATTTTTTGTAACTAAATATTTTTTTTTAGTGATCTTATAATTGTTACTCACGACTGCCGCCCAACTGACATATTTATGTTCCTAATATTCAAATACATTACACATTTAAATACTTAAGTTGTGACGTGATTTCAATTACAATTCGAGCATACACGATCACTCTGTTTATAAACCGATTTGTGTATATGAATATGCTATAAATTTACCGCACATGTGCAACGTGACTCACCAGGTTCCCATACTTTCGTTCACATTAGAAATCTCATAAATTTGTAGCACTCACGATAACAAAAAAGTCAATACGTTGTTTACTTTTAGAGAAAACCTTAACTGTATGCCTTTATTAAACTCCAGTAAAATACAATTAAATTTTCAGTAATTGAGTTTATCAGTTCCCATCAAATGTCAGTTATTCAATTAGCCACCCGATAATTCTTTCTCATTGAGAGTGTCGCAAATAAAGACGCTTCCGCACACTTTTCAGTAGTCCTGGCGTGAGTACTCCTCCCAATCTATCAATTAAGATTAATGTCCGATTCCCTAGATTCGTCGATCATTTATAACGATTGTTTCGGAGACAACTTCATCGAAGACAACCGACCGATCATCGATCAAGTTTGAAATGTTGTCTAAGCAGCTTGCCTTTGAGTTCCTGAGATATTTCGGCTAATGATCTTGTTGGGCCAAAAAACATTCACACATGATAGCCCTTTGAAGGTTATCACTTCTAGTTATAAAAAAAGTAGGTTTTACCTGTTTCGATCATTTGATTCCTTATTTAATTTGAAACGTAGATATATACCTATCAAAATTGCAAAGTTTAAGGACACAAAAACTAATTCCATGGACATACTTGTATGATTTAAAAATGCAATGGATAGGAAAACTATTTTTAAATTTAAGTCTCTGGATTTTAATATTATATTTCTTAAAGTTTTTTTTATATAATATGCATAAATTTATTAAAAACTGACTTAAATTAATAAATTTAAATATACAATAAATTGTATTTAAATTAAATTTAGCTATAAAAATACAATTTCGATTAATAATATCCCTGTGAGCCTTTCTCAAACTGTCGGGAAGAGCAAA